GGTGTGTGTTTCAGTGCGAAAGCAAAAGCACTTTATTTGGCCTTCCGAAAGTAGATGCATTTAGGAATCTTTTAGATTAATTTCAACAGAACAGCAATGCATTTTATGGACGACCCTCTAAAAGGAAAAAAAAAAGGGTAAATTCCGACTTTGCTATGACAATCTGGCGCTTCTGAATCAGCGACTGTAAGTATGTTTTGTTATTAGTTTAAGTATTTGCTATTGACTGTTCAAATGCGGAGTTTTGCGCAGCGCAGAGTAACGCGTCGTGTGTGTGTGTGAGGGGAACAGGGTCACATCACAGGAGAGTGAACTGTCTGTCAGAAATCATAGCACGTCAGCTGTCTTAACCGCGGCTTGTGTACTGCATCATCACTGTCTGTCACGCGACTCTGTTGCCCTTTCGGGCTTGAACTGATGGTAAAACTAACGACATTATTAACTGTCTTGATATTTACTTTGAAAGCTGAAGCGATTATGGTAAGGGGCGTTGCATTTCCGACGCGTGCTTGTGGTGTTCGGCCAATCACAATGCACTGGGTCAGCTGGCCAGTCAGAGCAGACTGCGCTTGTCAAAGGAGGGGGTTTTGTTGAAAACTACGTGTTTGAGAGAGGCGGGGCATAGAGGACCTACAATAATGTACAGTATTTGAAAAATAATGTGTTTTTTGAACATTAAAGCATGTCAACATATTCTGTTACACCAAATACACAAAATAATGATCTTTAAAATAGCATCATATGACCCCTTTAAGTTTAAAGGATTTGTTGTGGAGTCAGGGGAACTAAAGTACACGTTTATATTGTTTATAATGTTTGTTAATGTTTTGTTTTAGTATTTTACATTATTTCTGAATGTAGTAATAAAATGTGACTAACACCGATGTATCATTTCTGGCTTTTTTTTCTCTTAACAATGCAATTTTGACCCGGTGTGATTTACAGTCAGTTTCAACTTTCTTTCTGAAAAATAGGATAAATGGGTGAATCTCACCAAGCCTATCAAAAACATTCATATCATTTTAGGACCACTGCAATTTTTGGCATCATGCATTTAAATGTTTTCATTATTTTTACAACATAAAAATAATACATTACAATAAAATTTTTACAACAATTAAGCACATTTCTCCTGAATTCTCATTACTATAATGCATTCTGATGTTTTTAATAGGAGTGGTATTTAAATTCTCATTGTTTTCAATGGTGATTCTCTGGTGATACTGTATCATGCATCACGTTTTATTTATTTTTTTGATTAAATATTCAATTAAACCCATTACAAAAAATACTACCTACTATAATGTACGAACACCTTTACAATCAAAATAATATATATATTTTTTTACATTACAGTAAATAGAATGCAATATTTTTGCATTACTGAAATAAGAATTATCATAAAATAATTATATTTTTTTAGAGAGAAATATGACCTGAACATATTTGACAGGTTTATAGTGACAGAAAATAATATACTCTTTCTGTTTTTAATTCTATTACTAAAGAGTCCTCAAGACTGTCTCAGCATTGACAAGCCATCCGCCTTCTCTCATGGTAGCTCTTTTCTTTTTCTAATGCGCAAGACCTACAGTCTACAATGGATGAGCTGCACCTAATCCTTTACCAGATAATTTGAGCGACACTTACCTAACAAGCAGCACTTCCTGGTCCATCTTGAGCTTGTGTTCTGCCTCTAGCTGAGCTTTCTCTGAGGTGAGGCGCAGCACGATGTTACTGATCTCACGAGCGTAGTTCTGCTCTAGTTCTGCCTGTTCCCGTTGAATTATCCGTTCTTGCTCTGGACCCCAGGCTCCTCCTGAAGTCTTACCCCTCAGCTCTGCTTCCAGCCGCTCAACAGCCTGACGCATTTTCTCCGCCCTCTCCTCTGCCTGAGCCTTCAGGCCCTCCAACTCACTGATCTCCATCTTAAAGCTCTGCGAGATGTCCTTCCACTCAACCTCCATATTCTGCCGCATCAGCTCCATACTGCGCTCGTAGAAATTCACCTGTTGAAACAAAATTAGGACCATAAATCACTTTCTCTCTTCAATAAGGTTTTGTTTCCACAATTTGTGTTGCAATATAATCCTATTATTCACTGATGTACTCTTCAAGGTTTTATTTGGTACCTGGTAAAATTGTACGTCTTGGAGCATTTGCACATCTTAGCTTGTCCCCTTAGCTCTTACTGTTTGAATCTAATTTAATTTGCAAAGGTTACTTGTATCAAACCTATTTCATGTTTCCATACTATGTCTGTACCTTAGTCTGCAGTTGGATCTTCAAGTCCTGGACCTCTCGCTCGTTTTTCTCTTTCATCTGCTCCATGGCCAGTTCTGTCTCGATGCTCACAGGGGGAGCCAAACTCACCAAGGAACCTAAAACTAAAGAGACACACCAAACCATAAACCGTTTGGATATTCCATGGGGAAAGAATCGCTTCGTTTTTATAATTCCTCACCATTCTTGTCAGTGACTTGGAGCTTTTTTCTGACCTGAGGCGATGTACCTTTCTTCATTTCTGGATCATCTGCAGAACAAAATAGATAGAATGAGCTATTCATTCAACAGTTTACTATAAAGGTTAAGCCATATAAATTAGGTATAACATGAAAGAGATGTGTGAGATCTAGAAAGGTAAACCTGATGGATAATTGAATTTCTAATTCAAAATATTTGTCAAATTCACCAGAATCTGATTCAGCGGTTAATGCTCTTTGGCTTGACCAGTCATGACCAGACAGGCTGCTCCTGGATCGTCTGGCTCTCCTTCCTGAGCCCTGAGATTTCAACAACTCCAGCTCTGAGTGTAACTCGTCATTCCTGTCCTGCAACTCCTGTATTTAGTGGGGCGGAGACACAGAGTCATTTACACAAGTAAAACTATTTTTTTTTCTGCATTTCCTGAAACAAAGATATTGTAATGCAGAGGTGAAACATGCAATTTCTTTGCCACAAACATCAAATGGAACTACAAAAATAAGTATTTCAACATTAAAAAAGTATCACATCTGCTTTAAGAGTTAAAAATGTGTAATAGTTTTTATATACAATTATACATACACAAAAAAAAAAGAAAAAAAAAAAAAGGCCAAAACACCGCAAGTGAATAGGGTAAAAAAAAATTAACAAATCACCATCCTTTCCCCAGTTGATTGATTATATTAAAAACTGCAAAAAAAAATGTGTAATTCAAGTTTCCTGAAATGCCATGTTATGCAAAAGATGCATTACATAATTAAATATTCACTAATTTGCATACATTTACAGAACAGAAACCTGAACATTGGATAATGGCAGGTTCAAAATTCTTGTTTCAGTTTGTTGACATTCATCAGAATATAAATTGGAATAAAACTGTAAAGTTAGACATTTCTGACTCGGTGCATGTATGCATGTAAGTATGTATCGTAATTGAAATCTACAGATGCAAATAGATAAAGTGCAATAAAACAAAACACTTAAGTTTCTCACTTTATTTTAAATGTTTTCTTCCCCCCAAATGAAATGCCAAATAGCCCAGAATTCTCAAAATTGACCAGTGCATGTAAAAACAACGGCTTAGCCTGTAGTGTCTTAACTTGAATAAGGAGCATCATAGGCAAAGTCCCTACCTTGTTGCTAAAGTGTTCTGCATTAGCATTACTTAGCATAGGCGGTTACTTACTGTACTTGCTGGCTCAAGTCAAAAGAGCAAAACTAATGGCACAATTGTGCAACTCCTCAAAAAGTTGCACAATTAAAGCTGTCATTTAAAGCACCATGAATTACAGGATAGCTAGCATAATGGCCAAACAAGGACACTTAAATACAATGCAATGACAGGGCTGACTTCACGATTCACTCCACACAAAATATCCACCAAACACACACAGGCGCCCTCATACCCTGCACTGCAGCTCATACTCCTTAAAGATCTCCGAGAAGTGCTCTTCTTGATTCAGCAGTCCTGTGCCATTTGGATCAAGGCCACCATACTGTTCAGTAAATCAAGCATACAGATCAATTATCATTATTGTTTTTAGAGAGTGAACTTCATAAAGGATAGGATTTACAGCAATTTAACAATCTCACCTTGTCCTGCAGCAGATGATCTAGATCCTTCTGTAGTTTAGAGATGGTGCTCTCGGCTTCAGACAGCTTCTCCTTCAGGACGCTGACCTCCTCCTCCAAACGACTGCTCTCCTGTAACACACAGCTAGAGCTATTTAACCTGACACCACACTGACATGCTCAAAGAAACATACACCTCTAACCATGACAGATCACCTCATGCTCTGTAGCTAAGAGCAGGATCATCATGAAACTTAAGTCAGTGTGATTGCAAGGGAATTAAAGGAGGCATGGTAAGGAAATTGTAATACAAATGCAAACATTCTATAGATACAGTTATGGTTTAATTAAACTATTCCCGACTTAAATATTCAATGGCAAAATACTAAATTGTGGGATGTATTTGTTATATGTATATGACTCTGTAAACACATGTTTTATTCTTGTTTTTAACAACTTCTTTATGAAAAAATTCTAGGACTATAATAGGACAGAATCAATGAGAATCAATTTAAACTACAATGTTTATTTATTTAACAAATTTAAAGTTAATATTTAAATGTGTACAATAAATATTCATTTTATTGAAGCAATGTTGTGTGTTTGTTCTTACTTTACAGTGAGTTTACCACAGGTAAACCCCTTAACCATGGTAAAATCAATGTAAAACATGGCCTCAAGTGGTGTATGTAAAAAAAAAAAATGTCTGGAAACAGCAATATAATAAATAGCACTAATGTTAAATAATTACTTATATTAATATTAATAATTGGAATAAACAATTCACCTGTGAAGCAACAGTTTATTAGTGTAACTGTAGGCTATTTATTATTGCCAGCAAACAAAAAAACAAAAACAATGTGGCACTTTAAAATACCATAATTTAAAACTAATTTAAAGCAGAGACTCAGAATTCACAGCCAGAATGATTTGTTTTATAGTTACACATTACTGCTCAAAGGTTTTGGGTAGATCAGTGTTTTTTTATTTTATTTATGTTTTTGTCTCTTATGCGCAATGCTAAAAAAAATACAGCAATAACAGTAATATTGTGAAACACTATTACAAATAAAATAATTGTTTCCTAGGTTAATATATTTTAAAATGTCATTTATTTCTGTGATATCTGAATTTTCAGAAGCCATCAATGTTAAAAGTTAAAAACTACTCAATGTTATCAATGTTGAAAACAGCTGCAGCTTAATATTTAATGGACACTGATGAAGAAAGTTAAAAAACTGACCCCAATCTTTTAAACATTAGTGTATTTTAGACCAAACAGAAGAATACTGATAATATTAATAATAATAATGTCAGTGGTTACCTTAGCAGCAGTGCAAATGTCCTCCTGAAGGCTAACGTCCTGAGCCCTGAGCAGCTCTAGCTCCTCCTGGAGTCTCTTGCGCTCCTTCTCTACCTGCTCTAGAAGCACCTCGCTTTCATACTCTGATTCACTCCTCAGTGCCGTAAGTTTATCCCGGAAATCCTGCTCCAGACCCCTGCATCAAAGAAACAACATGGACAGTGACACTGCAGTGCACTTGCATGTGTCTTCATCAAATGTGATTATATGACTAGAGGAGAGCAGCCGTACTTGATTTTCGACTCATTGAGAGACTCCATGGTCGCATGGCGATCATCCACCTCTCTGACCAGCTGTAGGCTGCGGCGGTCAGCCAGTTCCAGGTACGCCTTGGCTTTGTCCCTCTCCTGACAAGCCTGGTCTGCCACAACTCTATAGAGTTGGAACACAAAACCACCACCGCACGAGAATCTCATTCATTCTGATGCACATTTTGTCACAAGTAACACCTGTTAATCATTCAAAGACATTTATCGAACAAAGTAAAGCCACTGTGCAGTTGTTTAATGCCTAAGAACTATACACCACAAAGAATACTGCTGGACACAGTGACATTACATGTCCTCCAGGTGGAGACAAAAACCAAACAACACAGAAATGCAGGTGAAGAGGCATTTTTTCCCATGATTTTAAATATATAAAATTATAAAATGTATCTTTAAGATATAAAATGTTAAAATAGTAATGCATCATGTGATGTAGTTATTTTAATTAAAATGTTTAACTGAAAGCAGAAACATAACAGTAATATGAAAAGGTAAAATTGTCCTGAAAATAATGTCTCAATGCAACATGCATATCACCAGTCAAAAATGTGAAATTTGGAATTAGTTGGAATACTAATATATATATATATATATAGTCATGTGAAAAAGTTAGGACACCCTATTGAATTCCATGGTTTTCTGTATCAGGACATAAAAAATTATCTGGTCCTTAGAAAGTCTTAAAATTTGGAAATAAAGCCTCAGATGAACAATATCATGACATTACCACACCGTGTCATTATTTGATTAACAAAAACAAAGCCAAGATGGAAAAGCCATGTGTGACAAAGTTAGTTACCCTAACTACCCTAAAGTTTGACACCCTATGTTTCAATTGCCTGTAGATCCACTTTTAGCAGCAATAACTTGAAGTAATCATCTTCTGTATGACTTAATCAGTCTCTCACATCGTTCTGGAAGAATTTTGTCCCACTCTTCTTTACAACGTTCTGGACTTTGACTGGGCTATTGCAGAACCTTGATTCTTTTCAGCCGTTCTGTTATAGATTTGCTGCTGTGCTTGGGATCACTGTCCTGTTGCATCACCCAATCTTGGCCAAGCTTTAGCTGTCAGACAGATGGCCTCACATTTGACTCTAGAATACTTTGGTATACAGAGGAGTTCATGGTTGATTCAATGACTGTGAGGTGCCCAGGTCCTGTACCAAGGTTGCATTTATTTGTTTAAAAATACAGCAAAAAGTAATATTGTGAAATATTATTACAATTTGAATTGTGTTTTCTATTATAATATATTTTAACATTTAATTTAATAATTACTCCAGTCTTCAGTGCAACATGACACTTCAGAATCAGAAATGATTCTAATATGTTGATTTGCTTCCCAAGAAACATTATTATTACCAATGTTGAAAACAATTTTTTATTATTGGGGTTTTTTTTGGGGGGGGGGACTGTGCTACACTACTATTTAAAAGTTTGGGGTAAGTAAAAAAAATCAATTAAATGAGTACTTTTTATTCAGCATGGGCACATTAAATTGATCAAAAGTGACTAATAATAACAACATTTATAATGCTACAAAAGAGTTCTGTTTCAAATAAATGGTTTTTAAAAAAAATTGAAAGACAAATGCAAAAAAGGTGCGTACATGCCATAAACTCAAATAGGGCTCAGGTGGAGGACAAAAAAATCTAACTAAACCAAAAAACAAACAATGTCCGCACACTGATATAACTGCTCCATAAAATCAAAAACTGAACATATTAGAATGTATATTTCTGATACATATTAGAATGTATATTTGATTTCTGAAGGATCATGTGACACTGAAGACTGTAGCAATGATGCTGAAATTTCAGCTTTGCATCACATGAATAAAACATCTTAAAATACTGTATATTAAAAGAAAACAGTTACTCTAAATTGTAACACTTCACAAAATTTCGTGACAGGTTGTGAATAAATACGGATCTGATGTGAAAGAGACTCACTGTAAGTAGTTTATCTCATTCTTGTAGGAGACCAGAGCAGCCTGATGGATGCCGTTCCCACTGACCAGCAACTCATTGTCCAGAGCCAGAGTGAGTTCAGCCAGACACAGACGCTCCTCCAGAGAGAAGTCCAGAGTCTGTATCCAGGTTCAGAATAAAGAAAAAACAATTCATGCAATAGTTCACAGAAAAAAAATGTCATTACTTCTGATCCACTTTATGCAAACATTATTTAAACATTAAATACAGCAGATTATAGTTTTTCAGTGTTTAATTAATGTAAATAATATCTTACCTGTAGAATATCCCTGCTGTTGTGGATGCCCTCCTCTAGCCAGAGGGCGATGACTTTATCTGGGCTTGTGCATCCCGATCCATCATCCAGACGGGTCAGCAGCCTCTGACCCACCGTAGCCGACAGTAAAGAAGGGGAGGTGGAGCGCACCACTCGCTCCTCAAGGGCCTGAGAGAGCAGAGGGAACGACATGAGAAAAAAAAAGACAAAACGATCAGACCAAGTTCAATATCCAACTGCGAGGAAAACCGCTGAATAACTGAGCTCTCACAGTCCCACCACACAATGCACAATGCTGTCCTTGACATGCCAGAGCTAGAGCCTCAATCATGAACAAAATTATTGCACTGACCACCAATAAACGTCCTTCTGGTGTCGTAACCCTTAAGCTGGCTTAGCCTCAATTTAGCTCCAGCAACCGCCAAATATTAATGCAACTCGGCATTTGTTATCAAACACTGAAGCTGTTTTTCTCTTTAATTGAGGCCTGAGCTTTTAGATCCAAAATTGTATTAACCAGCAAATCAGAAAATGTGCCCAGCTTGAGTTCAGATGCTGTTTTAATTATTTTGGCTGGTTGTGCTTTCAGTAAAATCACCTCCGAAATGTCATCACTAAAGGACCCCAAACTGTCTTTGCCTTCCCATGTAAAAACATCACATGCAGGTATGAGGCCTGCTGTGCAGTACATCTCCTCAGCATTGATTTCAAGTCTGGCCACTGCACAGGAATACATTAGTTGTGCTTTCCTAGGAACAAGAGAGCAAAAAGGAAGCTCCACCTTTCCAATTAAGTTAATTGTTTCCAGCCACTGCAGCCTCAGTAACTTGGCTTGATGTTGGAGTTCTGAAATGAATCCTGTTTGACAGTCAGGCAATCATTTAACTGTCTCTTGTGTTTGTCTGCTATGAGATGTCATGAAAACATTGGGAGAGGCTTTGGTTGTTCATTCTTTCAACAATTTTCTCTTTTATAATCAGCAGGTGAGATGAAAAGTGGCAGATAAAGATTTCTCTATTATATCTGTTACATGAACCTGCCAGTCTGGCATGCATAAAAAAAATTAATGCAAATGCAGATTACTGGGAGAAGACAATTACCCATCATCTGCGGCAAAAAATTTTTTTCAGCTGCACATCAGAAACCCATGTACATACATTAGTGTGTTTTTTTTTGTCATATTTTCTACATATGTACACACTACTGGTTTGGAATAATTATGTTTTTTTTTTTTTTTAAAGAAGGCTTAATGTTTACCAAAAGTGCATTTATTTAATCAAAAACATGGTAATATTAATGTAACTTGAAATAAATGTTTTCTATTTGAATGTATTTTAAAATGTAATTTATTCCTGTGATGCAAAACTGAATTTTCAGCATTATTATCCAGTCTTCAATGTCACATGATCCTCAAATGACAAGCTTTAGTACTCAAGAAAAATGTCTTATTATTAATGATGAAAACAATTGTGCTGCTTAATAATTTAGTGCACTGATAATTAGAACCATTATTAATAACTGAGCATCAAATCAGCATATTAGAATAATTTCTGAAGGATCATGGGACACAGAAGACTGGAGTAACGATGCTGAAAATTCAGCTTTACATTCACAGGAATACATTGATTTTTTATAACATATTTTATACTATAATATAAACAAATAGTAGAGTTATTTTAAATTGTAATAATATTTAACAATATTCGTGTTTTACTGTATTTTTGATCAAATAAATGCAGCCTTAGTGAACATAAGAGACTTCTTTTAAAACATAAAAAAACCGTAATTATTTCAAACTTTTGACGGGTATGTATATATTTTTATATAATGCTTTGGCAACATTTTATGTAAACAACCATGCCAATACATTTGGCAAGTAAAAGTACTTACAAGTACTTTCAAATTTAAACTGAATTGTCAAAATATTAAATAAGTACAGTATATTATTTAAATTCTACCAAGTGCAACATAAAACTTTTAACAAACAATTACAAAAAACTGTTTCTTTCAAATATTCACTTCATTTGCAGAGAAAACCATGCAGTCACTCTCTTGCACACTGGTGTCAGCTTTTTCTGCAGATTGTTTGGCAAAGCTCTGTTTATTTTTGGCTACAATCTGCTTTAACTGCAACATCACCATGACCTTGATCTGGTCCTGACCTTTGAGATGGAGCGCTGTGGTTTGGGCCGGGCAGGGGTGGAGGTAGAGATGGGAGCAGCGTGATCGTGTTGTGTGAACAGCCCGCTCTGGAACTCACTCAGACTGACTCTCCCATCCTGATCCTTGTCTAGTTTCCTGAAGAGAGCGTCTAACTCCTTTGCATAAACAAAAAACACGGATAACAGTGTTTTATGCACTGAATGGTGAAGGAAAGTCACTATAAACTCTGTAAAGAGTAATTAGTAGCAAACAAGCAGCACAGAATGTCCTAACTTGGTTAATATGATTACTAATCCCACTCCGTACAGAACGTTACATGACCATACCTCGGACTGTAAGTCTTTGAGACCGATGTGGTCACAGACGAGTGACAGCTCCTCGCGGTTTAGTGATCCTCCGGCTCCGACCCCCAGCTCCTGCCATACTGCCCTCACCTGTCCGTCTGTCACTTCCTGCTGAGGGTCAGATGAACGCTGAGGACTTCCTGTGCCATCTTGATTCCAGAGCTTCAACTGGCCTTGAATATATGTAAATCAGAAACAATTATAGCTATGTGCTGATTTTACATACAAACATGCATAATTAAAGGGCTAGTTCACCAAAAAGGAAAATTGTTATTAATTACTCACCCTCAAGTTGTTCCAAACTCGTAAGACCTTCGTTCATCTTCAGAACACAAATTAAGATATTTTTGATGAAACCCTCCATAGACAGTAACGCAGCTGCAATGTTCCCAGACCCAGAAACGTAGTAAGGACATCGGTAAAACAGTCCATGTGACATCAGTGGTTCAAATGTGATTTTACAAAGCTATGAGAATACTTTTTGTGTGCAAAGAAAACAAAAATAATGACTTTATTCAATAATTCTTCTCCAAATCACGTATTCCGTTACTGTCTATGGAGGGTTTCATCAAAAATATCTTCATTTGTGTTCCGAAGATGAACGAAGGTCTTACAGGTTTGGAACGACATGAGGGTGAGTAATTAATGACAGAATTTTCATTTTTGGGTGAACTATCTCTTTAATTTAAAAGTTACATAGTAATATCTAACATACCTTGTGCCACAAAATAGTGGTGTGTGGACTCCTTGTTGCTTCCTGTGTCCTCATCTGATTTGAGACTCTGTAAACAGTGCATTGACAGTGCTTAACTACTGACTGAATACTGCACAGTATACAGCCCACTATTTTTTTTTAAGAAATAAAAAGCTTCAAATAAGGAGGTCTATACTGGTTTCAAACAGTAGCATGCTGCATTATTGTCACATGACCTCACTGCCTTTGTCATGTGATCTTATCACAGTGTTTGTTTATTTCAGAGTGTGACATCTAGTTACGTCATAAATAGTTATTTTACATTTCTAATCCATTTTTATGTAAAAATGTCTTAATGTTTGACACATTTTGGCAAAATACTTATTGTGCAAAGTATACACACTATACACTGTCATAATTAAAGAAGCACAACAAGAGTTTAACACACAATATCTTGAAGTAACGTTTTGACTCTTGACTGAAGTGAGTGAGCAGATGGAGACAGTGTAGCTGAATGAACATGGTTCAGTGATAACAAGGGGAACACAATACAGTCATCATAAGGCATTCCATCCCAGCAGCCAATACTTCTGCAACGCTGGACAGGAACAACCGGCAGATACAAGCTCAAGAGTAATGCTGTTCATCACATCAGTATAGAAACACTGCACCATGCTAAACAGCTTAAACCTTGCTCATATAAAGCCAGCTAAATCTCCCTGTAATGATGTAAAAGAGCTTACATAAGAAATGGTTTGGAGTGGGACCGGGTTATCCAACAGTTACAACACTGAAAGCGCTTTAAAATCGACTGATACCATTAAGACAAATGCAGTAAAATGTAGTAAAAGTAATTGTAAAGGTGTTTGCTATCTGGATACTGTGCAATACACACTGAATACTGCCTAATATTGTTTTATTAAAAGAGTGAAACTATTGTATTGCATAACAAAATTTTCAGTAGTTTGCTACATCGTAAGCTGACTTCATTACAACAATTTCAGCATGTGGCTTTTAGTAATCATAATTTATTTTCTAATCAAATTTGTGTAAAATATCTAGTGACAAGCCACAATCAATTACCATCAGCATTAAATTTTAAACAACATTACATAACTGTTCATAAACAGCTTTTCAGTTGGAAAGCAGAGAGCGGAATGTCTTGTATTCTCTCTCTCTCTCTCTCTCTCTCTCTCTCTGAGTCAAATAGTGCAGATTTAGTAAGAGAAAAAAAAACACTTCATTGATCTCCTGTAACGAATCAGCTCATGGGGAAATATGAATAATTAATCATAACTAGTTATAATTAATTATAAATATTTAGATCCGCTGTGCAGAGAGCGGAATGTCTTATATTCTCTCTCTCTCTCTCTCTCTCTCTCTCTGAGTCAAATAGTGCAGATTTAGTAAGAGAAAAAAAAACACTTCATTGATCTCCTGTAACGAATCAGCTCATGGGGAAATATGAATAATTAATCATAACTAGTTAATGCATCTAAGGCATTGTTCAGGAAAGCATGGATATATGGAGGTCTTTCAGGAAAGACAACTCTCTAATTGGGGTGTACAAAAACTCCCAAGCAATCAACAGATATGAGATACTTTTAAAAGACTTGATTACAATTCATCAAGAATGTTCCTCAGCTTCTGCCTGATGAAATGTGTTGCATTTTAGTCGATGACTTACAAAAAACTAAATAATTTATGTTGCATGACAAGGTTTGTGTGCAATATTTATCACAGCTGGTTGAATTATTTACATTAGCAAGTAGTGTTGTTGCTCACATGAATGTTGTAAAAGACTATATGGACTGGAATCTGTGCTGAGGCCTGTGAATCTGCGCAGATTCTGTTCATTCAGTCCATCTAACTTGCTTGCTCATTTGACTTACAGTCATGGTAAAGCAATACTGTGTTGATACTGATACAGCATTTAGGGGTAAATCAATGTGAAGTGCAGTTTGCAACCCATTTTACTGCCATAATCGGATGTATTTCTGGAGAGATCTAGAATTGTATTAAAAAATGTTATGAAAATATTAAATATTGTGTATATATCTTCGAAAAGGAAAGTTATTTCAAAGGTGAAACAAGATAATGCATTTAGATTAAAAAAACATGATGAAATCCTATTTGGAATAACATGCATGAAATATATTATACCCAATAAGACCAGGAACATGCATTAAAAAAGTAAATGGTTAATTATGATTGCATATTCTTTTGTTTAATTATACAGACAACCATGACATATTTTATATTTATATTACATATTTTATATATATGCATTTGGCTGACACTTTTATCCAAACCGACTTACGTTGCATTCAATTTCATTTTTTTTTTTTTTTGAATTCATGCATTTGCTGGGAATCGAACCCATGACTTTGGTGTTACTAGAGCCATTCTTTTCTGTTTAAGACAAAAAAAATTCAATTACAATCATCCTACAATCATACTAATTCAAATTAGCTTAGATTTTTATATTTTTGGTTTTAATTAAAATTTTACTTCAAGTTTTAGTAATTTTGTTATGTGCTTGTCATTTTCATTCGTTTTAGTTTTTCTACTGAGCTATAATTATTTTTATTTCAGTTTTAGTTTTATTAACTTTATTACTTCGATTTAAATCTATTCATTTCAGTTAATTGCTATAGCAACATTTCTGGGGTTATTTTTCATCCTGTATTTATATTTACAGTTTTAATGGCTGTTTTACATTTAGTTTGTACACAGTACTGACTAAAAATACAGGGTTTCTGCATGTTAGGGAATGTAATTTATTTTTAAAGATCTTCAGTGCAAATTACTACTACAACAACTACTACTACTTCTACTATTTTAAGACAAATGTAGGACCTTCATTAAATATAAAATGTAAATAAATAAAACTTTTCAGCTTTAGCAAAGTTAAATGTCACATCAGTGTGATCAGTTTGAATGATGACTGATGATTAGGAATGGTCAAAAAAGATAATAAACTAAATAATAAAATCATGATAATCTTTAGCATTTTTTTTTTTAGCTTTTTGAAAGTATTCAACGACATGAGACAGCTTAAAGAACTATCACAAAATAGGTTCAGAGTATTACATATCTAAGAATTTTTTACAGTCTTCAATTTTGTGTATTTAAGATGTTTAAAACTTCACGGACACCCTTGTGAAACCTTAAACCTTTTACATAATACTTGTACTGTGCATGTTCATCAGATTACTGTACGAGACACGATGAGTTGGATCTTCCTGCTACAGAGTAACACAGAATCGCTAGTGACCGTGCAAAGAGTCGATTTAGAGCATGTAATCTCCCCCATTCGTCAAAATAGCGTGTACTGGGTTACATAAAAGCTCTAAATATTTCAAACACTGTTATGAAAAGTGAGAGAGGAGATCGGGAGAAGAAAAGGAGAACAGAACGGGAGAGACGTGTAGCGAGAGAAAGAGAACGAGGGAGGGTTCTGGTATGCAAGTATGCGTTTCTAAAATGAGAGGCGCAGTTAGAGGAAGCGCCATGCCAAATTGTAGCCAAACCCTTTCCTTGTTGTACTTCACATTATCAGGCCTTGTGACCACAGCTGATGCTTTGCACCCTGAGCTCCACCCAGACCAAGACCTCTAATCCTGGTTGAACACATTTGACACATAAAACACACCACGATGAACACACAGGCACTAAAACATGCCGGACCAAACGGAGCCTGGCGGGCTGGTTCATAAACACCAAATGCTGGTCGCTGCCAACATAAACTGTTCTGATGGACCAGCCTGCTTTCATTCTTGGCTAAAGCACAAGTCCTCCACAGACTGTGGCCTACTCTCTCAAGAAGTCTCAACCCAAACTGCGCCATTAGACTTAGATTTTTACACTGTTTTGGAAAATGTAAATGTTACAACCATGATAATCTGAGTGGTTTTAGCACATTGCTAGTCTCTTCTAACCTTGTGAAAAAGAAGTACACTGAAGTGGGAATTATTCAATTTCCCGGTCAAACTCCACATATGAGACAACTGAATCAGAGGATTAAACTGGAAATTCCTATTACTGATTTTCTTTTAGAATCAATGCAGAGAGGACAGCTTCGGGCTGCGAAGAAGAAAGCAGAAATGGAGAAGAAGAGAAGCGGAGACACCAAGACAAGACCATTAAAGGCGAAATAACACAACAACACTTAAGCATAATTTTAAAAAGAGTGCTTTTTACTTAATACAATACACTTTATAGAATATACTTAAGTGTGAACTGAATGTAATGTTTTCGAACACTTAATTGCATGTTATTTACAATTAAATGAAAATGCATTATAGTTTAAATTTACTTTAAATGCAATTAGCTAAACTTTAGAGTGCTTTTTGACCCACTTAAGTAGGACTTAAGTACATCTTTATATGTAATTTATTTCATAATTTTTTATACTGTCTTTGAAATATGGTTACAGTGTACTGTGGAATATACTTACAAATAAAAAAAAAATCTTTCTATTGAAACTTGTACAGTATGTTATGTATTTGTAATTACACATTTGTAATGATGTTGCAATTTATTACATTTAAAATACTTTATATATATTATAATACTATATATACTTTTAACTTTAAATAGAATATCAAATAACACACTACAGTTAAACTTAGAATTAAGCACTTCCCACCTGCTTTAGTATGTTAGTTGTTTATTTGACATTATTACAAAGTGAACTTTTTAAAAGTATACTTAAGTGTGTTAGAAAAAAAGTAATGTAATTGTCTCACTTTAAGTACACTTATGTGGCCTTTATTTAATTAATATTATATATCCTGCAAGCACAGTTTTGAAAAAATCTACTGTTAAGATACACTACAAGTGCACATTCAATATAATTAAGCACACTTCTTTTTAATAAGGGTAGACAGCTGCTTATTTAATCAACAATTTAACTCATCAAACAACTGCAACAGTAACAGGGACATGTGACGTGCATGAGCAAGAAAAAACATCATCATCCTCTATTGTTTCTATTACCAAACCAAGATGGATCCAAAACAATTCCTTGAAAATAAAACACATGAAATGAGGGATCCAGCAGCACAGGTTTGCATTTGCACTGGCTCTCTGGTCTGGCACTGCTATGCACAAGTAAAATGACTCCAGAAGAAAAAGTACAGACACAGCAGAAACAACAAACCCCTTTTATGAGAGCTCCTGCTCTTTGAGGGAAAAAAAGAGAATGTGAAATGAGCCATTTTTTGATCCTGAGCCAAAAGTAACACTAAAGTCTGGTGAAGGTGGGGGCTGCACTATAGGCCGGCACTTGCACATTCCACACCGCCGCACTTCCTGTCTGAGAAAAGCAGGTCGGCCCAGATCCATTCACTAGAATCACAATGATTCAGCTCTTCAATTGACTAACAATACGACACCAAGTACACTGCACTGTTAAGTGCTAAAATTTGCATGCCTATTTGCATACAGTCCCAAGATGACACCCCTATTTTCACCTCCAATCTCCTTTGAGTGTTATGTTATGTTGTTAGATTTTGAATACATGCTCTTTCAATTATTAATAGAAATGAAAATAGAGTGAATATACACTACCGTTTAAAAGTTTGGGGTCTGCAAGAATTTTTAAGTAAAAACATCCAGTAAAAAAATCCTGAAATATTATTGTAATTTAAAATATGTGTTCTCTATGTGAATATATTTTAAAATCTAATTTATTCCTGTGATGCAAAGCTGAATTTTCAGCATCATTACTTCCAGTCTTCAGTGGCACGTGATCCTTCAGAAATCCTTCAAATATGCTGATTTGGAGCTCAAGAAACATTTCTTATTATTATCAATGTTAAAAACAATTGTGCTGCTTAAACTTTTTGTGGAACTGTGGCACTTTGTCAGGATTTTTGAAAGAATAGTTCAAAAGAACAGAATTTATTTGAAAAAAAAATTATTTTGTAACATTATAAATGTCAAAAATGACATTTGTGATCAATTTAATGCACCCTGCTGAATAAAAGTATTCATTTCTTTTTTAAAACATCTTCCTGACCCCAAATTTTTTAAAGGTAGTGTAGGTATCATGGATTTTACCTCAACACTCTCCAGTGAGGTGGAGCGTCTGAGCTTGGCTCTCCTCACACCGTTTCTTTCTACTTTGTCAGTCCCAAACTTTGGTGAATCTTCTGAGTCCGCTGTCAGCTCTACGTCAGTCTTGTCTGGCCGTGATCGCCGCCCGTACCGCTTGGTTCCTTTCACATATTTAGGCTTCACCTCCTCTGGGACTGCTAGAAGCACAGGCAGTGATGCTTTAGAGCGACAGATAATTAAAGTATGCCAGAAGCAGTCAAAATGAAGAAATAACAGTGGTAATAGCAATAGTAGGTGATCTCACATCATTTGTTTTATGTCATAACCTTTTTCATAAAATGAGAAATATGTTTCAAAGGAAATGAAAACCTAAATGGAACATCTCCAAACCCAGGTTCAATGCTTGAACATCTGTTTTTCATCATAGCGTTCAGGTTTTCCATTTTTAAAAATCATTTTAAGCGTTGAGCACTGAGATTTCACAACATACACTAATGTACCAGTCTCCCTAATGCATCTATTAAAAAAGACGAATGTTATTCTGGCTTTGGTTTAAAAACGACCTGCACAAAACGTTTCAGCATCTGTATTACTTATTAGGGCTCTATGAACAGAGCCATAACAACTTAGGCCTTCAAGGTATTACGAGCTATTATTGTGCATGCCTTCATGAATAAGCAGGAATGCCTGCGTTTTGTCTTCTTAAACATGTTAATAATAATAATGTTATCTTAAACAATGTCTTTAATCCAAATAAACTCAAAGATGTTTAGTAACGACATAAAAATGACACCAAACATTGCCTAAATGTAAAATAATGATTGTTTTCTCTTTCTGTATTCTCATATTTGTGTTTAATTTTCCAGTGACAAAAGCAAATGATGCTAGACCTTTTCTCACATCAAACATCAATTTTCTTAAACATTTTTGCTTTTATCCAGTGGTTCTAATATAATTTTTAATGGACGTATGAAGTGTGGTTTAAATGTCAAAATACTTTCTAGGGCCATATATTAATAATTGAAAAACTCTTAACGATAAGCTGGAATTTGCGTGCTTTTTAACTGTTTACATAAACCACAATGCTCTAAAAACACACTACTGTTCAAAAGTTTGGGGTTCAAAATATTTTTTTAAAGAAATTAATACTTTTATTCAGTAATAGTGCATTAAATTGGTCAAAAGTGGCAGTAAAGATTTTTACATTATTTCTATTTCAAATAAATGCTGTTCTTTTGTACTTTTTATTCATCAAAGCATCCTAAAAAATGAATCACGGTTTCCACAAACAACTGTTTTCAACATGATAATAATAATAAATATTTCTTGAGCAGCAAATCAGCACTTCTGAAGGATCATGTGACACTGAAGACTGGAGTAATGATGCTGAAAATTCAGCTTTGCACTACAGGAATAAATTGTATTTTAATATGTATTATATTAAACAGCCTAAACTGTACTGATGTTTCACTGTATTGCTGTTTTACTGTAATTTTGATCAAATAAATGCAGCCTAGGAAAACAACAAAAACATAAAAAAATATTACAGACCCCAAACTTTTGAACAGTAGTGTAACTAACCATAAATATACCAGGCTATTCATTAACAAATACAAATAATAATTTAGACAATAACACCCGGATGTGTTCAGTTCAGTTCTTCAGAGTACTCAAGTTAGATCAACTACACATCATGTACCATCAACAAATCTTGAGTCCACAAGGTCCAGATTGACTAGCAACAAAAAATCATGACGATAAACACAGGCCTGGAAACTCTGATAAGCCTGAAGGTATATAAAGGTCATTTTCTAGTCGAGTACCTGGTTCAAGATAACTGCTTTCCTCCTCTGAAGTACTAAAGTCCAAAGACCTTGACAGCACAGCCACAAAGCCCTCTTTGAACTCCTCAAAATTCACCTGCAAAAAGACATTATCTTAAGACCTATAATACAGCATTAGGATAAGAGACACAGGGATGTTCATGCAGGAAAGCTTACCCAGGCATAATGTTGCGGTCCAAGCAGAGTGTCCAGCAGTAAGGGGAGATGGGCATCTAAGCTCAGCTTGTGGCATAAGGCAGTGAGCTCCTGTTTGTCGAGGTAACCGGTCCCGGTGGTGTCACAGCTGTCAAACTCAGCTTTCAACTGGGCCACGTAGCGGTTCTGCTCCTCCTCATCCATCCCACCACATACTGCACAGCCAGCAAAGTCTGGGACATGAATGCAGAATTAAAAGTGATAAACTAGGCTTGTGGTCAATTCGGCATTGACGTATGAACACCAGACTCTTTAGCCTACATAGAGAGTAATTGATTGAACTAATACACATCACTGATCTGACAATGTAATCACAACATATTTTTGCAGTTTATGAGTTTCTGATGCATTTATGATGCATTTGCCAATTTAGGCACAGAGATATGTATTCTGTACATACACTACCATTGGAAAGTTTGGAGACAGTAAGGTTTTTTCCAAGAAATACATTTTCAGCAAGGATGCATTAAATTTAACAAATGTGACATTGTAATGTTACAAAATCTTTCTATTTCAAATAAATGCTGTTCTTTTTTTTCTTTTTTTTTAAGTATCAGGGTTTCCACAAAAATAATAAACAGCACAACTGTTTTCAAAATTGATTATAATAAATGTTTCTTGAGCAGCAAATCATCATATTATAATGATTTTGTAAAGATCATGTGACTGAAGACTGGAGTAATGATGCTGAAAATTCAGCTTTGCCATCACTGGAATAAATTAAATGATAAAATATATTAAAAACAGTTCTTCTACATTGTAATAATGTTTCACAATATTACAGTTTACTGTACTTTTGATCAAATAAATGCATTCTTGGTGAGAGTAACAAACTTCTTTCAAAAACATTAAAAAAAAAAAAAAAAACTTTTGAATAGTAGTGTAAATATTTAAACACTATACAGTGTATAATACTGTATTATTTGATACAGTAATCAAATTTAATTTTATGGCACTTTTTGTAGGTTATGCGTTTACTACTACTTTACTACACATACTTTGTCATTTTTATACTCTAGTTACACCTTTCTTCTGTTTCTTCTGTTATCCTGCTGGTTTTATTGTTTTGAGGAGTCTTTGTTTTTGTAAAGAATACTATTGTATTGGTACAACCGGTGTTTTGAGCCAATAAGAGCCTGAGCTTATTTACCAGTAGTCTCAAGTGACTTCTGATAACGGTGGAGGACAAAACAGACTTAAAATATCTCATACTTAAAGAAATTTACTTAAAAACCAATCAATCCACTAAGGAACTGGCTGAATGGTCACGACTTCAGAGTCACAAACACCTCTGATAGTCAAATCAGAATGGGTCTTTGGATGTTTTCATTAATTCCATGTAACATTTTCACACACAAATTTCTGCGTTATTAAATCTTACATCAGTTATTTAACAATAACAGACAAAAAGAGAAATGCATTTGTAAATTAACCCAATAAAATCGATTTTATAAAGCCTGCAGGTATCCCACAATGCAGCACGCGGGCTTGGTATACGTTCACCATGGGAACGAGGACAAGACTAGAGTAAAACAAAAGAAAAAAATATTTCGACTGTGGTATTTTCCATTGTAAACATTCACTTTGAAAACCCCATGACTCGTTAGAGATGCGCAGGCGATCCACTGAAGAAGAAACGCGTTAACGTGACATCAGTGAAATGTAACGTTAATCTTACCGTTGTAAACTCACACCGACTCCGTTCCCGTAAAAGTCACTTTATGTCCAGCATCAGTTGAGTTTCCTAAAACATATGGTCATAACGTGAACGACCAAAGACGAAAAGATGCGTTGACCTTTAAAACGGACATAAGTAACAGATTCTAGAGAAGTGTCCAGTCTAGAGGGTGCACTGTGGTGCAGTGTCCGCCGGAGCGCAGCAGCGTTGAGCGGCGGGGAGGTACCAAGCGTTCCTGCTCATTCAGAGATGCTCCATTCTGCAGCCCCTGCTGGTCAGGCGGTGGACTCATACTGAACCCCCAGAGACTAGCACTGGCATTGCGTTGCATTACTTTGTTGCATTATATTGTGCCTAATGTAAGAGAAAATAAACATAAAGGTGTAGGTGGAGCACTGTATTTTACATAAGAAGAAGAAACATGTGTTTACATAGTCTCTCTTGTCTTCACAGCTCATTTAATTCTCAGACTGTGAGAGTCCACGCCATAGATGAGACCAATAGTATCCAGCAGCATCAGTATCAGAACCGCAGCCACAGAACTGGAAGTGAGGGGCGGAGTTATTGACAACGCGAGAGCACGGTGAGTAGTCTGTAATGTTTTTGCTATCATATGTTTAATAATTATCGTATATATTACGTTAATCATTTATCTGCTAAGTACTTAATGTGTGCTTGGCTTTATTATCTTATATTGAAGCTTGAATTTGTTGTCATACTTTATAGTATATAACTTTTTTCTGTTTCGATTAATTTTTGGATGCATGCTGTAAATGGCCCTTGCGGTGAACTTTGGAGTTTTCTCTGAAAGGTACTGGACATTTCTTCCAGCCTACCATTACATTTGCACCCCCTTCTGACCAATTTGAAATTAACCAAGATACATGTATATTACAGTGCAGAAAACCTGCAAGAGGCCCTTCCAAGTGGATAACAGGCTACGTTTGTGAGGTATGTCTCAAATCTATCTATCTATCTATCGTCTGTATGTATATCTATCTATCTATATCTATTATATATATATATATATATATATACACACACACTAATAAGAAATATTAAAGGAGTTATTGACAACGCGAGAGCACGGTGAGTAGTCTGTAATGTTTTTGCTATCATATGTTTAATAATTATCGTATATATTACGTTAATCATTTATCTGCTAAGTACTTAATGTGTGCTTGGCTTTATTATCTTATATTGAAGCTTGAATTTGTTGTCATACTTTATAGTATATAACTTTTTTCTGTTTCGATTAATTTTTGGATGCATGCTGTAAATGGCCCTTGCGGTGAACTTTGGAGTTTTCTCTGAAAGGTACTGGACATTTCCTCCAGCCTACCATTACATTTGCACCCCCTTCTGACCAATTTGAAATTAACCAAGATACATGTATATTACAGTGCAGAAAACCTGCAAGAGGCCCTTCCAAGTGGATAACAGGCTACGTTTGTGAGGTATGTCTCAAATCTATCTATCTATCTATCGTCTGTATGTATATCTATCTATCTATATCTATTATATATATATATATATATATATACACACACACACACACACACACACACATTAATAAGAAATATTAAAGTTACATTTTCCTATTCTGTAATGAAGGAGATCCCAGTAATCCCAGACAGAAGTTGTGAAATGGCTCCATTACAACAGACATCTGCCTGCGGGGCCAGTGGAAGAGCCTCTTTTCCTTATAATGGAGGAAGAGGACAAGGAAAAGGCCCTCAACAATCTCCTGGAACAATCAGAAGCTTCCCGAGTGCCCTTCATATTTCATCTTGTATTCATGGGAGTTATTATTGTAGGATTGTCATAACTAGGAGTTGTGATCGATGATCAGTTAAGCTTCACCGACCACATTGCTACAACGGCCCGGTCCTGCAGATTTGCCTTATACAACATTAGGAAGATTAGACCCTTCCTGTCAGAGCAAGCCACACAACTTCTTGTCCAAGCTCTTGTTCTCTCCAGACTGGACTATTGTAATGCTCTCTTGGCAGGCCTTCCCGCATGTACTATCAAGCCTCTGCAACTGATCCAGAATGCAGCAGCGAGAGTGGTCTTCAATGAGCCAAAAAAAGCTCACGTTACTCCTCTCCTCATCAGGTTACACTGGCTACCAGTAGCCGCTCACATCAAATTCAAGGTACTGATGCTTGCCTACAAGACCACCACTGGCGCTGCACCAATATACTTAAACTCGCTAGTTCAAACTTGTGCGCCCTCCAGAAGCTTGCGTTCTGCAAGTGAATGGTGCCTTGTGGTGCCATCCCAAAGAGGCACAAAATCACTCTCACGGACCTTTTCCAGGACTGTGCCCGGCTGGTGGAATGACCTCCCGATCTCAATTCGAACAGCTGAGTCTTTAGCCATTTTCAAAAAACATCTAAAGACACATCTTTTTCGCCAGCACCTGACCAACTAATACTAGCACTTACCTATTCTATTCTGTTCTGTTCTATTCCATTCTATTATTTAAAAAAAAAAAAACCTAGCTACGTGCACTGTGCTAGACTAACTGAGACTTGTCATGGCACACAGTTGTTGTTCTCTCATTGGTCTGATTACTTCCATTCTTCTCATTTGTAATTCGCTTTGGATAAAAGCGTCTGCTAAATGATTAAATGTAAATGTAAAATTTTAATTTTGAATTTATGCAAGATTGACATGACAAAATGTGCCCAAGAGTGAATTGTTCATTTTGTAAGTTTTCATGCAGGATTGTCATGACAAAATGGGCTTAATAGTGAATTGTTCATTTTATAAACTTCAATTTAATTATTGTGTACATTTTGATTGTTATTTTTAAAATTATGCTGCTGTTTGTGTGTGTGTGTGTGTGTTTTATTGAAATGTTTTAGTTTTCATATAGAAAAATGTATGATACATGTGTTCTTGATTTTGGAGTAAACATTTATATTGAATCTTGTGATTAAAGTATATTTCATATAAAATGCCAGAAGTTTCAAACATTATTTTTAATATCACAAACAGGAAATAACTCGCATAATACAATGAAACAAATAACTGTATAGGCCTACAACTAAATTACACAAGATTAATGTTTATAAAATGCTTAATATATCATTATAAAATGCATACATAGTATGACGTATCGTATCTGAAACAACCTTTCAGTCACCATTCACTTTCATTCTATAGCCAAAAATGCAATAAAGTGAATGGTGACTGAAAGGTTGTCATCTGTAACAGCTGCTTTTGAGTTTCACATAAAAAAGTTTGGAACAACATGAGTCAATAAATAATGACAATCGTTTGTTTTTGAAAGACCTAATCATTTAACGCAATCTATTGTGAAAGTGCGCCAAAATATCCTTTAAAATAGTTTACGATTCTATTTGTATATTGAAAACCGCAATAAATGTTCTAAAATGTACTATCATTTATTATCAATATTACGTCTAAATAATATTTGTCTAAATAAAATTTGAAGAATTATTTGGAATTCATTTTAGAACAAAAGAACGTGTTTTCAAAAATGAGAACTAGCCTATTCATTCATTAATTAGTTAATAATTATTTCTCTTTGTAATAATGACATCCAGATTCGGGCAAAAGAGCACGGCGTTGGCTCTTTCAGTGAGCTGGTGCTTTCTCGAAACTCTGGCCAGTGATAACATTTGATTTATTTGATTTGCATTGAAATGTAGACAATATCAATCTGATTTTACATAATAATAATAAGTAGTAAAAAGTTAAGATAAATCAGTTAACCCCTTAAGTGCCACTCCCCATTTTTGAACATAGAAGTGAAAGTGCACTATCCAAACTTAAATTATTATAATTCATGAAAACTTTGGAATACAGACCTACGGTTGGACTCCTTTTTAATAAGACAATCTGCAGATTACTACAGAAGGTGAATCATTTCAAAATATTAAAGTATCAAAAAGTTATAGAAGTTTAAATTTACTGTAAATAAAATGCACTGTACCATTTTTTATTCTATATGAAGTAAATATTTTACAAAATATTTTTGAATCCAAAATTAAAGTTAAAGTTGATATAAAAAAAATTGAGGTTCCTGTGAGATTTTATTTAAGGCGTTATACCACAAACAGCCACCGGGTGCCATCCAAACTCTGTAGAATTTTTGTTGATGCATTTTCTGTCACGATTCACGAGGCTGAATTCAGCTTCTTATTCTTAGCTTCTTATTGACGCTATCCATTCCACCTTAAAAACGCGACGCTTCCGCGTTTCTTAGCTTCTTATTCACTCTCAATTTAGGGACCGTCTCTATTTCGTCTCTTTTTCAGAAACGAACAATGAACTATTTTAAAATGTAAATAACACTGAGATAAGAGCGAAAAAGGTGCATAAAAATTTCTACTTTAGTCTTATTCCCAATGCACTTGACTGTCACCACGCAAATTTTCAGACATATTTACTGTAGCATTTTGAAGTTATGGACCCATACATTTGGCAGATATGACAATAAAGTAACTGGAGAACATTGCATTATTGGCCCAATTGGAGGCGCTATATCTCAGCTGCCTTTGCGGGTGAGTTAAAAATTTCCACTGAGGTCATATTCCCAGTGCACATGACTGTAACCACGCACATTTGCAGACATTTTTACTGTAGCATTTTTATGTTATGGACCCATAAACTTGGCTGATATGACAATACAGTAACTGGAGAACATTGCATTATTGCCCCAAATGGTAGCGCTATATATCAGCTTTCTTTGAGGGTGCGTTAAATGTTCTACTGTGGTCTTATTCCCAAGGCACTTAACTGTCACCATGCAAATTTGCAGACATTTTTACTGTAGCCTTTTGAAGTTATGGACCCATACATTTGGCAGATATGACAATACAATAACAGGAGAAATTGCATTATTGGCCCAATTGGTGGCGCTATATCTCAACTTCCTTTGAGGGTGCGTTAAAAGTTCCAATGGGGCCTTATTTCCAGGGCCCTTGTCTGTGACCATGCAAATTTTCAGATATTTTTAATGTAGCATTTTGAAGTTATGGACCCATACATTTGGCAGATATGACAATACAATAACAGGAGAAATTGCATTATTGGCCCAATTGGTGACGCTATATCTCAACTGCCTTTGAGGGTGATTTAAAAGTTCCACTGAGGTCATATTCCCAGTGCACTTGACTGTAACCACGCACATTTTCAGAC